AATTGATAAATGACTGACTGACCAACAGATTGTTCATTCATTCAATATCATGTACTGGATATAACATAGGACCAATTATTAATTATTGATTGTTTTATTTTATCGATCACCACTTGGGTGCAGGCGTATTAGAGAGAAAAACTACTAACAGATGGTGGGGGGAAGGGGGAACGGGAGAGAGAGAGAGAGAGAGAGAGAGAGAGAGAGAGAGAGAGAGAAGGAGGGAGAGAGAGAGAGAAGGAGGGAGAGAGAGAGAGAGAGAGAGAGAAAGAGAGAGAGAGGGGGGGAGAGAGAGAGAGAGAGAGAGAGAGAGAGAGAGAGAGAGAGAGAGAGAGAGAGAGAGAGAGAGGAGAAGTCGAGGAGATACACTGACAAGCTGACCAATATTATTATCATGAACACAGTCCTTACTTTCTAATCAAACATCCATCGGCCTTAATTAATTCTCCTCCTCCTTTTCTTTGTATTTTGTGTGAGCTACTCTCTCGTTACACATCCACTCACCAAGCTTCGGCACTCTTACATGAACGTGTTGTTGGGGGCTCTCGTGGCCTAGAGGTTAAGGTGTTCGCCTCTCATTCAAAGGTCCCGGGTTCGAACCCAGGTAGCGACCGAAAAATGTTCTTCTCTAAATTGTCTCCTTTCGCCTCATTTCCTGCTCTCTAGCAATGTTCTGTCGTCTGCTTTCATTTCCTCTTTCTGCCCCCACCCCCTCACCTCCTTTGCCCCTTCCTCTGGGCTCCTGACTCTTTCTGCAGCCTTTCTACTGCTACTCCTTGGCTTCTTCTTACTGCTGTCTTTCTGCCACACCCCTGATCTTCTGGTAGGAAAGATCTACACCGAGCCTTCTCGGGCAAGGGCGAAAAATCTCGGAGGGCCCGTATGCAAGTTGCGCACGTTAAAGATCCCTTGGTGGTCTAAAATCGATACGAGTAGGCTTCGGCCGCCACCCGGGCAAAATTCAAAATTTCCTACCAACTGAAAATATTAGGTGTGTCCCGCGCGCTCATATGACCTTATGCAGTTGCGAGCGCCGTAAAACACTTTACAAAAACAAAAACAAAACGTGTTGTTGGAGGGCACCACTGGTAGGTCCTACTTCTTTAATTTCCCTCTGTCATTTCAGTCTGTCTGTCTGTCCGTCTGTCTTACTTTTCCCCAGCACTAAATGGCCATAACTGTGTCGGCGTGCTTCTCTTTACACTTATATGGGCTGATTGTGTTTCATGTGCCGTGAAACTATTGCTAAAACAACTACAACAACAACGAAACAAAAACAAAAAAGCAAACAAAACAAGCCAAAAAAAAATCAACTCCACTGTGGACTCACCCTAAAATCCCGCTCCAGTCTCTCCTTGTGAGCGAGCTCTTTACGGTATTTTCGATCAAGAATGTCGTATCTGAGGAGACCAATGGTGTTCTATCATTATAATTCGTGAATACACTATTTTAGCAACGAGTGACTAGATTATCGTGTTGCGATGTGTGCTTATGTGTTGTAATTTCCGATATCATAGAAGGCATGCAGCGAGCGTGCGTGCACATGTGTGTGTGTGTGTGTGTGTGTGTGTGTATGTGTGTGTGTGTGTGTTTTGTTGTTGTTTTTGTTCACGTGTATGCATGCATGTATATTGTGTGTGTGTGTGTGTGTGTGTGTGTGTGTGTGTGTGTGTGTGTGTGTGTGTGTGTGTGTGTGTGTGTGTTTGTAGGAAGGATTTTCGGCCGAGATGTCAATTGTACACTTCTTGTGGGGAGGCTTTCAATACAACCTTTTGAAATGACCCCTACACTGTCAGTGGAATGTTGATGATGATAATGTGCTCCTCTAAGTCAAGAAGGAGGAGGGGGTGGTAGCGGACTCCAGAGGTCGTTTCTACCCCCCCCCCCCATAACAATCTACTATTCTGTCAGTTTATCATTTTTCATTCTTTACAATTCCTATTCAATGCCATCCCCCACCCCCAATCTCCTGCCCAGTTAGAAAGAAAAAATGTGAGTCTTTTCAGGGCGGTATGCCGTCCTGGAGGGTTTCAGGGTAGCACCCCCCAAAAAAACACACACAAAAAACAACAAACAACAACAACAACAAACAAGAAACAACAGCCCATCTTGAATGAAAAAATCTGGGTAATTTCAGGGTGGCGTTCAACCTAATCTGAACATTCCATCATCATCATCAATGCCTTTTACCCCTGGCAGGGTGTAAGCCACATACAAGCTCCTTCCATTTATCTCTATCCAGGGCCATCCTTCCTAGCTCGTTCCAAGTAAGCTTTATCTCTCTCATTTCCCTTTCCACACATCTCCTCCATGTCTCTCGTGGCCTACCCCTGCCTCGTGCTCCCTGTGGGTTCCATTGCAGTGACTGTCTTGTGATGTTTCCGCTGGGCTTTCTGAAGGTGTGTCCCATCCAACGCCACTTTCTTAGTCCTATTTCTAATTCTATACCTTTTTGTCCTGTCCTGTCCTTTCCCACAGCTCTTCATTTCTTATTCTATCCTGCCACTTAATTCTTAGGATACTCCTCATACATCTGTTGATGAAAGTCTGGACTTTATTCAGCACTGTCTTTGTTGTCTTCCAAGTTTCGCAGCCGTAGAGGAGCACAGACTTGACACTGGGATTAAAGAGTCGGATCTTGGTGTGCAGTGAGATGTTGCTTGCTTTCCAGACTTTTGATAATTGATTGAATGCTGACCTTGCCATGGTGGTTCTTGCTTTTACATCTGCCTCAGTTCCACCTTTACCATCGATGACACTTCCAAGGTAGGTAAAGGAGTCCACTTCTTCTAGGGGATTGTCTTCCACTGTCACAGCAGGGCTTGACACTTTTCCTAGCTTCACTACATTTGGCTTGCCCAGGTGTGTACGTAGGCCAACACTCCTTGATAGTCTGTTGAGTTCCTTGGTCTTTTCTTGCATCTGGGCATGTGTGTGAGAGAGCAGTGCAAGGTCATCGGCGAAGTCTAAGTCGTCCAGCTGCTGCCAAGGGACCCACTGTATTCCATTGCGCTTGCCTCTGGTGGCTTCCTTCATGATCCAGTCAATTTCAAGTATGAAGAGAAAAGGTGAAAGCAGGCATCCTTGTCGCACTCCTGTCTGTACCTGGAATGGTTCTGAGAGTTGTCCTTTGTGGAAGACTTTGCAGTTTGTTCCATCATAGGTGGTCTTCACAAGTTTGACGATTTTCTCAGGTATTCCATAATGCTGCATGAGTTTCCACAGAGTTTCCCTGTTCACACTGTCAAACGCCTTTTCATAATCAATGAAGTTGACCACGAGTGGTGAATTCCATTCAAGTGATTGCTCAACTATGATGCGCAGAGTAGCGATCTGGTCCACACATGATCGGTTCTTGCGGAATCTTGCCTGGTTTCCTCTGAGCTTCTCATCTGTTGCCAGCATGATTATCTCCAGGAGTATCCTGTTAAAGACTGTCCCAGGTATGGACAGGAGTGTAATGCCTCTGTAGTTGTTACAATTGCTGAGGTCTCCTTTCTTAAGCAGCTTGATTAGGTGGCCTTCCTTCCAGTCTGACGGTATTTCCTCTTCTTGCCGAACCTTTTCGAACAGAGCATAGAGAATTTCCACTGATGTATCTTTATCTGCCTTAAGGGCTTCCGGTGGTACATTGTGTATGGTCGGGACCAGCTGCCTCGTGGGACTTCAGTGTTTTTAGAGCTTCAGCAATTTCCTCTCTTGAAGGTGGTTCCGTAGCGATTGGGAGGTCATTTCTGGCTGGAAGAATTTCAGGTTGGTTTTCTGGAGGTGGTCTGTTCAATAGTTGATCAAAGTGTTCTCTCCATCGGTTCAGTTGCCCCTCTGGGTTGAGGATAATCTTTCCCTCTTTGTCTTTCACTGGTAGAGTGGGCTTGCTGAACCTACCTGAAAGAGTCTTTGGTCTGATGCACAATCCACAAGTGTCCGTCTGTTGCTGCTTTCTCTGCCTTTTCGACCAGGCCATTCAGATAGGTGTTCTTGTCCTTCTTGATGGAATTCTTTACCTCCCGGTTTACTTCGATGTACTCTTGTTGTGCAGCGAGTTTCTCAGTTCAAGTACGGCAGTTTTTTTACTTGGGCCTTCAGCTCTCTTCTTCTCTTGATTTTGTCTAGAGAGTCCTGTGAAATCCATGCGTTCCAGGTGTTGACTTTGGGTCCTAGGATGCTCTGGCAGGTTGCATTTACTGCCTCTTTTATCGTGTCCCAGTGTCCGTTTACTTCAGTCATCCAGATCTTGAAGGGCTTGAAATCTGTTCTTCTGTTCCAACTTGAATTCATTTTTCTTTACTGGATCTTTCAGAAGGCTCACTTCATACTTTTTGCGACTTCCAGTTGTGATCTGTGTATACCTTCTCAGTTTCAGTTTAATCTTTCCTAGGATCAAATGGTGGTCTGATGCGACGTCTGCTCCTCTTAAAACTCGGACGTCCTCCTGTGAGCGTCTAAACTTTCGAGAAATGCAAAAATGACCAATCTGGTTTTCTGTTGTTCCATCCGGGGAGACCCAAGTGGCTTTATGAATTCTTTTTGTGGGAAGATTGTTCCTCCAATAACCAAGTTGTTGAATGCACAGAAGTTTTGGAATCTTTCTCCGTTGTCATTTGCCTCTCCTAATCCGTGTCTGCCCATGATTTCCTCACAGTGACAATTGTCCGAACCTACCTTTGCATTTAGGTCTCCCATGACAATGTTGATGTCCTTACCTGGAAGTTTGTCGATGACGTTCTGCAGGCGGTTGTAGAAGTTATCTTTATTCTCCACTTCTGCATCATTGGTAGGGGCATACACTTGTATGATGTTCTTGTTAATGACCTTCTTCCTACCATCTCTTTCCTTGAGTTCATTTTTTGGGGTTCCAAATGAGGCCATGATGATTCTTGGACCGTGCGCTTCCTAGCCCCTAAATGTCTTTTGCGCTCTTTTGGTTATGATCATCCCAACTCCTTCCCTGTGTGGTCCATCACTGTCATTTCCTGAATAAATAAAAAGCTCCCCCGTCTTTCATTCGCTTCTGTCCAGACTGATTCAAGTGGGTCTCGCTGATTCCCAGTATGTGTAGGTGGTATCGGTGCATTTCTTGGAGAACTTGTGTAGTTTTCCAGCCTCATAAAGGGTCCTAACGTTCCACGATCCAATCCGGAGAGACTTGGACTTGGATGATGGTGGAGGCTTCTGCCCAGCAGCTTCATTTCGGCTTTCACTGTTTCGCATCATAAACTCTCCGTTCGGAGAAAATCCACGACCAACCAAGCAGAGATAATGGTTTTTACTTGTATATGTCTCTGCAACAGGTTCCTTTTACGAGACAGGTTGTGAGCCTCGTGACTCAACCCCCGACCTGGAGGCAAGATGACTCTGTTTCGGGAATCACTACCTGGTTTCGCCATTTAGTCGCCTCCTACGACACGCTAGCGCCACGTCAGTCCTATTCTTTTCAATGCCGGGACTGCACGGCTATAACATAGTATATGATAATATGAAAAATAAACAAACCAAACAACAACAACAACAACAACAACAACAACAACAACAACAACAACAACAACAAAAGCGCTATTAAAAAATTAAAGAAAAAGGCAAAGTCGCGCGGATTACCTCAGATTCAAGCCATCCACTTCCGCTTTGTGAAGGGCAGCAACTCTCTCTGCCTCCTGCCGTGCCTTCTCCTCACACTCTCTCCGGGTTCTCTCTATTACCTCCTGCTCTCGCTTCTTGAACGCTTCCTGGGGGAGATTTAGGGGGGGGGGAGAGGTGTTACAAGTGATATGTCGGCAGACTCTTAAAGGTTCTAACGCCCCAGAAGCCTATTCTCAGGCGTTTATTCGTTTTCAGAAGGGGCTGTTAGTGTTAACCGTCACAATAGTTTTGTCTGAAATGCTCCCCCCACCCCCACCCCCTTCAACACATTAATTAATATTTGTTCAACAGCCGAATCGTTCTTTCAGAGATTCCAGCCAAGCAGTGGAAGGAAGCTACCTTAAATCGAAACCACACCAGTTGTGAGGCGTGCTGACAAAATGAGGTACTTCTGGCATCCACGAATGGAGATGTTGTCCCAAAATAGGCTCCTCAAACTTGTACATTTTATTTGGATGCCATTTTCCTTATGGTTAAACATGTCTTTCATTGTTTCATAGAATTCAGTGTCCAAACCGAACCTATACATTTATGGGTGGTAGGCGGGTGCTCTGGTGTGGTTTGCTCCTTCTTTCCTATTAAACAACTATCGCCTTTATCTCTCCTCCTTTTTTATGTTTGTTACTCTCGTGTAACGTCTCTAATCTTCGGCACTTATATGACCTTATTGTGTTGCAAGTGCCGTAAAACTCTTACTAAAACTAAAGCTAAAAAGAACCTATACATTTCTTATATATTCTATGTTCACAAGGCTAAAATCCGTGAATTGAATCATTCTGTCAGCACACCTCACATTTGTACAACAGCCTATTTCACTGATGCCAGCTAGGTACTGGAAGTTACCTTAAATCCAAACCACTAACGTACTTACTCTCTCCCTATACCGTCAGGTACATAAGGCAGAGAGCTCCCTATACCGTCAGGTACATAAGGCAGAGAGCTCCCTATACCGTCAGGTACATAAGGCAGAGTGCAGTCGACGGAAAGCTTGTCTGTCCCTGGCCACGCCCTCCAATTTTGGCAAATCCAGGACCTTGGGTGATTGCCTCATCCCTTAAAACCAAACCACACCAAATACAATGTACATGTAATTGTTGATACGACAGCACGTAGGGAATTATTATTCATTAGCTCGTCATGCGCATACTAGCTGCGCATACGAGCGTTGTCATCTTGTTTTGGTACAAGTGTACTGTAACAAAATTTTAATATGACATTATGTTTTTTTTAATTTTCTCTCAAGTAATGAAATAATAAAGCTTATTACCTAACGTGCTGTTCGTAATTTAAGTTTTCTAAAATAACTGGCTCACCCTGGCCTTCTTCAAAGCTTCAGCTACCGCCTGCTCTCTCTCCACAGCGAACTCGTTCCTCAGCCTCTTGTGTAGCGCGGCGCACGCCTCCTCTATGGCGATCTCCTTTAGCCGCTCACACTCCTCCCACTGGTTCTGAAGGGCTTCCTCTTTTTCTTGTTCCAGCTTGTTCCTCAGCTCTTTCATTCTCTCCGCCTCGGCACGGTCGCGCTGCTCTGAGATTCTGGCTGCCAGTCGCTCGAAATACTGTTTGGAAAAAAAATTAAAATGTTCAAAAATCATTGCATGGCATCGTGGGGAAATCAGACGCTCGTCAAAATAATTAAATTGAAGAAGCTGACCTATTTTTATTGATACTATATTGATTGATTGATTGATTGCTTGACTGATTGATTGATTGATTGATTGATTGATTGATTGATTGATTGATCTATGGAAGGGGGGGGGGGCGGCTCATCACCTTTAATGTTCACCTAAAAACAGATTTCTGTTTTGTTTGGGGGGTTTTTTTTTGTTTTTTTTACTGAAAAGCGTTGATCAAAGAAGTAAATTCTAGCTATGGCAATCACCATACTTTGGCAGAAATTTTCTCGTTACATTTACCTCAGATACCAGGCCACCACCTCCTTAACCTGCAAATATCTCGACTTCTATTCAAGATAATTGAGTAGATGGGTTGTTTGTTTTTTAATCAGAAGCAAGGCAAATGAACTTGCTGTAAGATTATACCGGTAACTCTATATTCCAAAAAATGGACGAGCACTTGATTCCACAGAGTCACAATACTTTGAGTGATGATGTTGATTATTTCAATTTTATGTTTTGTTTATTTGTTTGTATTGTGTTTGCCTGTACTGTCCC